CCTACTCGTTATCGAGTGACCGCCAAGGACTCTCTATGCCACTAAGTCAGTGATGAAGATATTGAACAGAACCCATCCCAAAACTGTTCTCTGCAGAATCCCATTCATTATTAATGGTTCACCATCATGCTTAGAAGGCATAACAACTCTCTCGAAGAATTATACAACCAGTTACACACCCACCTTATAATAGCTTCATCCAGGTTATATTTCCCTAATTTGTTAATGAGATCTAGTGAGACTATATAAAATGCCTTACTATAAAGTCTAGATACAGCACATCTACTGTTTCCTCCTTAGCCATAATATTGCCTCAAACAATTTCCAAGAACACAATATGGCAAGCTTTCTTAACTCAAAATTAGCACTAGAGGGTGTGAGAAGAGGTTTTGTTTGGATGTGTGTCTGTATGACAAAGAATTCTTGGAGCCCAATAGGGCTTCTACAGTATACAATTATTCTCAATAAAACATCCCTTGTAGATACAGGTTTAACCTTCCAAATCCGGGATTCCCTGGTCCAGAAATATCCCTAGACTGGAGGAATTATATTGCTGGACCAGAGAGCCCTGGAGGTGAGGAGTACAAGCCAACTGGGAATCACACAGGTACTGCAGAGCTGGTCCTGTGGTGGGTGAGGAGTCCAGTCCCAGGGAGCCCCAGTGGTGGCCAGGAGGAATCCCAGCACCGAACCCTGGTGGCAGTGAGGCTAGTGCTGGCTGGGAGGATGCCCCTGCACTGGCTAGGGAACCCTGGCAGCAATGGGGCTGGTGGCAGCTGGGGGAAATCCCTAGCCCTAGCCCCAGCCAGGAACTCCGGAGGCAACAGGTCCATTGTAGGCAGAGAGAGTCCCAGCCCAAAAAGGCTAACCCCCAGAGCCTCATCATGGGGCTGGCAGGAAGGTGGGGAGCCCAGGCTACAGGGACTCAAACAGCCCAGAGGGGAGCCTGACCACTCAGGTCCCACACCAGGAAGATCCAACCTGTAGGAAAATGAAGACAGGGAAAATCAACATGTGATTTTTCTCCCTCTGGGCTGCAAAGCACCTGGAGACTATGCCAAGCTAACTTTTCTAGAAGCTGCATTTTTCAGATGTTTAATGACGTATAACCCTAAACCTCACAAGTTAAACGCATGGTCACCAACCCGTCGATCGCTGCCCCAACAGCCGGCACGGTACCTAAAACGCCGGTCCATTGTGTGCTGGGGACTTTGTTCCCCTGCTGCCTTCCTGCGTGTGGGGGAGAGGGAGGAGGGTTGAGATCCGGGACTGCGCTGGCTCCGGCTCCTCAGGCGGCGCGCGCTGCCGTGGGGAGCGGAGAAGCAAGGCACACGCTGCCCGAGCGGTTGGGGCTGGTGCGGTCCAGGACTCCCCTTCCCCCAGCACAGGAAGGCATCAGGCATGCAATGAACCAGCATTTCAGGTACCGCACCGCTGTTTGGGAGACGGGGGAGCAGCCTGCGCAATTCCTGGGTCCCTGTCCCCTCTCCCCCACCTAGACCCCTGCACAAGTACCTTGACCCGCACCCACTGGCACCCTGTCCTCTGCCCCAGCACCCACAAGCACGCTGTCCCCTGCACCAGCACCCATTGGCACCCTTCCCCAGAACCCTGTCCCAGCACCCAGAAGCACCCTGCCCCAGCTCCCACAAGTACAGCTGGGGCCACATTAGTGAGGTTTGAGGGGTTTGGAGGGGTTGTGTTTTTGTATCTCACTCGTGTGGCCCCGACTAACTTTTCTGTGGGCCAGTGACCCGACTCAAAACAGGTTACCCACCCTTCTCATAAAGAAAGATGACGCTGAAACCTTTTGTGTTTGACATAATATTTTATTTAAAAATGAAGCCTGACCAACAAGCCCTCAATTGGGACCAAGTCCTCATCTGGCCACAGCATCATAACACTCCTGTACCCCCCACCCCTACTCCAAATTGAGCCTGTCATACACTGGAACTCCCTGTCCTGAGCCTCTACCATCCCCAAACTCTTGCACCCCCACATCCTCAATCTTCTGCCACAACACACTTGCACCATTCACACACTGCAAATTTGTATCTTGAGCCCATCATACTCCCAACCTCTGCCCTGAGCCACTCACACCCCCAACCCAAACTCCTGCACCCTAATATCCACAAGCCTGTGGCTTGCTCAGTACCCCAATCTTCCATCTGAGCCCAGCACTCCTCAGCCTGGAGCCCCCTCCCTGAGCCAGCATGCCGTTCTCCACATGAGGGTACAGCTAGACTGAAGGAGTTTTTCCAGCAAACACGCTCTTTTAGCAGCCCCTGTATTCCTCGTTCCACAAGGAATGAGGGGGCTTTCCGACATTTGGCCCAGTCTAGACGGGCCAAATGTCAGAAAAATTTATTTACTTTTTTTCATTGCTGGAAAAAAAGCGGCAGTGTAGCTGTACCCTGAGAGTGTATAAGGGCCGGGGATAGCAAGTGATGGAGAGAAAGGGAACAGAGAGGACGGGGCCTCAAGGAAGGGGTGGGGTAGATCTTGGCTTTTCCTGACATTTAAAAAGTGATCTTGTGTGTAAAAAAGTTGGACACCACTGATTTAGTCTATTTAAGAGTATTATAAGTCATTTGATCCAAGTAAAATAAAATGCCAGGATGAGGAAGTAGCTGCCAGGTATTAAGGATATTAAGAGGCGGGTAACTGACTAATCATGTGGTCGATTCAATTTGTACTGACTACATGATTAGTCAATAAGGGAAGGGCTCTGTCCCGGCTAGTGCAGTAAGGTTGTTAAAATGCAATTATCTGGCTAATCATATAGTCGACAGAATTTGTACTGACAATATGATTAGTTGATAAGAGCCTCTGCAGAGCCACAGTGGAGATAGCTCCAGGAGCTGTCTCAAGCTGGGACTGAGCAGTCATGGCTCATGCTGGTTCCAGAGCCACCTGCGCTGCCTGAGCAGCCCAGCCCATGGCCAGCCCTGCCTCTGGATAGAGGCAGCGGGGGGG